CTAAAATCGAAAAACTTTTAAAATATTTTGGTCCGTTTTCGTTTGCATTAAAAATATTCAATAATTATAGAGCAAATTCATAATGGTATCCTTTCACTTTCAGCAATAGTTGCAAGAGTATTTTGAGCTTTGAAAAACTTCAAAATTAGGGTTAAAAGTCAGAAAACTGTTTACCCTTATCAAAAAATAGTAACGGGAATCATTGAATAGAACTGTTGGTTTAGTAGTGGCTGAACGAAAGTTGTTTCCTCAAAAGTGCATACTCAAAGTTCCAGAGCAGAGATCATTACTACGAAGAAGGGAGAGTTAAGATGCTTAATGAAATCATTGCTTCTCTGAAGATCTCGAGGATTGGATTCCATTTGCAAAGCAAAGTGCGCGCCAGTAATTCTAAATGGAAGTAATCGCTATAACATCTGGGATCAGTAAAGGAAATTACTGTCTTTTCTAGATCGAATAAAGGAGGTGTGTTCAAAGAACAGTAAAAATAAATAGTAAATGTACAAATTGAATAAAAATTACTCATACATAAACCAGTAGACGAGCAAAACATCTATAAACTATTAAGACTTCTGTTTCAAAGCAGCAAAAAAAAATATTTTGTGTTTACCACAAACGAGTAAAAAATGGCATCTTATATAAATTATCACGAAATATCACTGCAGTTGATGGTCTTGTATCTTCAGCAACAAGCTGTTTTACACAATTCACTCCTCACGACTGCCTACGACGTTCAGTATGTGTGTTTAAGTGTAAGTTGCATAATGTTTGGGCTATGTCCACAAAAGCACACAAATTTTAATTCTAATTCGCTCATATGACGAGCGGCGAACTCCATTTGCGTGCCACCATTGCTGTTTTTGGTTTTGTACTAAATGCGTGACTTACCAATGTCAACATTAAGTGAAAACTCGTGTAGGAAGTCAATTAAATATAGCCCCTTGTGATGTTATGATGTACACGTTTGCAAATATGTGAAGATAAATGCTTCTATGCACCAYATTATATACCTACACATATCTGAGTGTGTAAAGTTCTGCTCACTGTTGGAGGTTAAAAGTCTTTAATCAGAGCTCTGACCATTCGATGCTTAATTGAATACAGTTTAAACTAGTTTTTCTTTAAAACGGAACATTTATTTTTCAAAGGTGCGTTTTTGAACTTGAGCAATATTTTACTATAAAGTAATATGGTATATGTGGTAGGAAAATCCAAGCAATATTACTTTACACTCAAACAGCCACATTAAAATAGATTTCTTTAAGGTTAATTTTATATTTGAATATAAGTTAAAAAGTCACAAGCATACAAATTAGCCTTCTCCATAAAAATAACAATAATAGCTATCATATTTATTTGTTTTACGGCCTACGAAAGCATYGCCTGCGTTTTAAAATGTAATCCTCTGCAACTGTTATTTAAGACTTAAGTCTTGAATTACTTTAAACCTTCCTTATTGGGATCCGAACTTTGTTAATAAGCCAAAATAATTATTTGTACAATATCTTTCTCCCCCCCCACACACACACACACACTAACATCTGCCGAGGGTTAACTTTAATGYTGTTTGCACAACCTACCCAAGATAAAATGTCTTACCTTGTAAGGTAACCAAAACAACAAAGTGAGTAATTAAAACAAAAATATTAAAAAAGAAGCCTAAAAAACACACACATGCAACAACACCCCATTTAAACACACGTAACCGTTGTAAGTATGAATACACCTATAAATGTTATACGAAAACAACTGAACTCTCACAGAAATTTGTCTGTTGGCGCAATACCCCCAATATTCATTGTGCATGTATCACACAAGTGTTGTTGGTTTTGTTTAAAATTTAAATAGTGTTGTGTTTACTCAACGAGAACACCACCGAAGCAGTAACAGTAGCAGTAAAGGCAATGTATTGGGGGACGCAACGGGGCCATTCTAACCCAAAAGCTCTTAAAATGCAGCAAATTAAGTCACAACAACAATAGTCCACYGTCCTGAAGGTCTGAAGGACCTCAAAAGAGCCATGTGTGAAAGGATTGTAAGTAAGTACTGCTTGGTTGCGAACAAAGGAAGTTGTAGCTCGCGCGTATTGTCGAAATCTTGAGTTGCTTGACAGGTGGATACAATGACAGAAGGATAAGTATAAAACCACCAACAACAAGATCAAAACACAACAACAAGGGCAACATCAATTACATCTTTATGAATTATTCACATCCTGGGCTAATTTCATGAGCGTAACGACTAATGTTTTCATTATGCAGCGTATTCCCCCACCACGAAAAACATGGTGTCATCTCGAGGTCGAAGTGGCGAGAGAACGAGTTCGCCTAGCTTTTGTGTATTGCTTAATACTTAGTAAGGCTAAGAAAGTTGACTTGATAACTTTGGAGTTGTTGTAACAGCAGACGTAGGCGACAAACTTAATGCAAATTTATAAGGAAATTTGTAACAATGCTCAAGTTGAATCAAAATTAAGTCTAAGGAAAAGTTAAATTCAAATGGACGGGGTATGTATAAATATACGTTTCTTTAGATATCTTACTTTTTGAATATGAACTGACTTCCTTATGAAATATGACTTGACTTTTCTTTATCATTAGTCATTTAACTGCGTCACCAATTTGAATTTGAAACGCAAAATAACACTGTGTCTTTTTCCAATTAAATTTTTCATTATTCATTTCATCATCATTTCTCCAACGGCATCGGCCCGAATTCTCCTTCAGTATTACTTTGCGCGGACAGCTACTCCAAACATAAATGAATATATGGAATTATTACGATCTATAAAACTTTCTTGAAATCTGATAGTAAATTGTGGAAAAAATAAAGAGAAATTGTGGCCCCAAAATTTACGAACATCGAATTAAAAAGTATTATTTTCAACTAAGAAAGACTTCCAGCAATAATTCCTTCCATTGATAATAAGCTTTACCTACTACCATTATTATAACCGAGTTCTATACCTTATTTTTACCACCGTAGTTACATATTCAGCGGTAATACATTATTCTTTCACAAACACCTATACAATTTCACGATTTATAACCGCGACGTCCTAGTATAGTAGAGAAAGCTATCTCCTATTTTCTTCATCGCTTATGGGATAGGGGCACCGGTATGAAATTTAGAGATCATCTGTTCCTGATCAGAATATGTAGTAATGGAAAAAATAGATAAAATTGGTCAAGGGTAAGATTTTCAACTATCRGTTGACTTTATAGCTTATATTATATATCGGTAAATATGTAAGACCGAAGTGTATGTGAAATTATATTCTACTTCAAACAGTAGTTTCCRTTATTCTAACCACCTTTATCATACTAATGTTTTAGACCTTGATCTTAAACTCATATCCCTAATGTCAGATATATCTCAGTTGAGGATGATTTTAACTGACAGGAAATAAAACTTAGTTATAAAACTAATTGAGCCGATGACATATAATTTAACTTTATAAAATATTAAATATGTTTATAATTCGTTCACGATTTCGTCGAATAATTAATTCTCAATTCTACCGCAACACTTTAATTATTGATTCTTACAAGTTGCAACAGTAAGGAATGTTCGGTTACGGTTCTTGACTTCATAAAATATAAATAAAGGGGTCAGTGACCCCGCAAATCGTAAAYAAAAGGGTTATTGATTGGTAAACAAATGTGTATTTACCCTACAAAAAGTAAACAAAGGGGTCAAAGACCCCTAAAGGTTGTTCACTTGGCTAATCTTAACAAGGTTTTGGACTTGGCGTATTTACCCCGGGTCATTGTCCCCAAATGTCAACGAAGCGTTTTGACTTGGTTTGTTTTTTTACGGCTTTCTATCTCTAGTGAAATCTTATACTAAAGTGATATTAAATTTTTGAGCTTTTGAAGAACTACATATGAAATGTATTAAAAACAAATTAATTAGGGATCCAACCCGACGATAAATTAGTTGAATTCGCAACATGTTTCTTCAGAGTAAAACATAATAGTTTTGTTCACTTTACAGTTGYTTGCATCAAAACCAATCTTTCTTGGGCCCCAAGATCGGAACAGTCGAAGTACTACCACGCCCACAAAACGCTATTAACTAAGCTCTAAATTAAGAAACATAACTGTACTTTGTTAGACAGGATCGCAGTAACAAGGGACACTTCCTGTCTATCTCTCAAATCGCTAAAGCTGTTTTAAGCCTCACTTGCTGAAAAAACGTTTTTTGCAACTACAAAATTAGGTAAAATCACATTACTAACCACGCCCATTCCCCATATAACGGTTACTTTGAAAACTACTAAAAKTACGTTAACTTACCGATGAAATGCAACACTAGAGTTAAATCTCACAATCAAAATGGTGGGAAACAGCTTTAAAGGAGCAGCTTGAAAAATTGGACAATGGGCGTAGCACTGCCCAAATAATTTCAATAAAATTTGATGTATGAGGTTATCAAACCATTTCATACTCTYTTAAAATGGATGAAATCGGACAACAACCACGCCTATTTTCCTTTAAAAAAATTTAAATTCGATCTTAATATTTCACTTCCAGTATACAAATCAATCAAGTTTCCTCAAGGTTTCGTCTTTATTGTTGAAATCGGGCTGTAACTTTTTAAGGACCTAAACACCAAATATCTGGACCCCAGTGCGTTTTCTAATATTTTTATTATCGGTCAATTTTGAGTTCTTGTATTGAAATTCGGCAGAATATTTTGGTGATGATAGTCTGTCCTTGTACCGAAAATGTATAAAATAGTGTGAATATTTCCCTTAGTTCCCTTAAACATATTCAAATGAATAATATCGAATTTCCGACTGACTTTTTAACGCAYCTCTCGGTCAAAACGTATGAAATCTCAATAAGATCAGAAGAGAATAGAAATTTCTTTCTAATTATAGTGCACATTATTGTTGTGATTGCACAAAATGTATGCAATACATTCAATTTTGATTAAAATATATTTTTTCCATATATCCTTGTGAGTATAAAATGTTCAGTTACACCCAAACTTACTTTTTTTTATATTGGCCAACATCAACAACAGGCGGTTTACGGGGGTTATGAAATTTTCAAGTTTTGTTTTGCATACATTGACTGCTGCTAGCTGTTAGATGGAGTCGCGCTGCCAGAGTCGCACCTTCTGGTAGGCAAACAGTACGAATTCACTGCACCCTTAATACAAATTTGTTAAACTGATGTCACACGGTGAAGTTACCACATTGCACATAAGGGTATTTCCAGTGCCGCCCAACCGCGAAACGATAACGGACCTAAACATTTGGGGGAAAAATATATATAGTATCTTTGYAACTGTCAATATTTACATGGAAGTTAAGGTATTCCCAACTGAACTTAATTGTAAAATGAATTTGAAAGCTTGCTTATTCATATAAAAATCTCAAAATGACATGTCAACAGAGTACAAAACCTATGCATACATRCTAAACAATAATTTATATATCACTTTTAAATTATTCAAGTTGTTCTTTTAAATTATTACGAACCCAATTTACTTAAATACGTGCTCACATCGGATAAATGTATGCATATGTATTTTGTAAGTGGGTGTGAGAGCATTCGAGACGAGCTAACGATGGGCGAGTAATCTTTAAGCGCCTCCAGCAAAGATTCATAGGCACTGCGAAATCAAATTTGCTTCCTCAAACTATAAGGCATAATTTGTATGTTAATTTTATAATACATATATGATAGATTCCATTATATTAAGTTTAAAAATATATATATATTTTCATATATGCATGTTCATATATCAAATAAGACACGTAAATGAAAAAGGAAACAATTCATAAGTACGCGATGCGTGAAATCAAATGTAAAAAAATTGTTCGTTGAGCTTTTTCGGTCACTGGTTTTGATTAGGGTATGTTCTGGTTTTTCCTGCCCTTTTTCGCTTTTTTTCGCTTTTTTTTCTCACGGAGCACCCCTCTGTTACGCCAACATGCATAACATAAACTCGTATACTGGTATGTGTATTTCAGAAGAAAACACATCGGTATGCATTATTCGATACAACGTTATTGCAAAAGAGATGGTCAAAATACAAGTGCTATGGACAAATAGCGGCGTATTAGGAAACCCTCATTTCGTGTAATTGACTAGGCCATTTTTGAATCGACTTAACATTTWTTTTGACACACAATAAATATTATTACCGTAGTCTAACATGAATGGCAAGAAAGTAGATACATCGATATGTGCACGTAGCAATATTATGCTCAGTGAACAACAAATCATAGGAAATAAGGTATATGGCATTAGTAAGAATGTGAAAAATATAAGAAAAATAAGGTATATGGCATTAGTAAGAATGTGAAAAATATAAGAAAATTATTTACTTACTATTTAAGCTAAAGAAATTTAATATCTAATAAATAGCCAATAGATAGTACACACTATAACTTCGGTTTTCTTTTTTACCTTTAACACCTACATAATCTACTGCATTACAGATTTTAGACCTTAAATTTCAATTTATTTTTGGCAGTTAAAACATGCGATACATTTCCTACTGGGCACTACTGGGCAAACTTAATCGGGTATATGTATATATTCACTCATTTACATAAATTTCATTTGGTGGTTTTGATCGCAATATCTGCAACATAAATATACACACATACATAATAAGGTACTTACAAACTTGACATGTTCACAATACCAACTAGCCGATTATGTGAAGGGTGTTTTCATATTTCTCAARATTAAAGAGGCCTTACTTCAAACTAGTAAAAGACACAAGAACAAATGAAGCTTTTTAGTGCGGAAAATTAAGTATTCCCTTATGTATGAATATTAAAAATATTGTTTTAAGGATCAGAAATAAGGAAATACTTCATATCTCAAAGCCTTTCCTGAGGTCAGTGAATTTAATATACTTCTAACATATTAATGCCGCGTCATTGAAGCAAAAGAAATGCCAGTGAAATCGAAAAGTCTTAGGCTTGTACATTGTAATTATTAAACTGGCCTAAGAAACCTTACCATACAGTCTTGTTAACGTGTCCAAGTGGCGAGCTTTACAATGTTCTAAACCTAACTTCGTAACAGTTTTCACCATGTGGCCACTGAATATTTTTCAGATGCAATAACGCTTAGTTTGCTATTTCGCAAAATGTTTCGAAATGCGAATGAAGCTTGTGGCCTCATTAATTTTATGCTCGTTCTTATCGCTTATTTGTTTTTACTTTCACACTATTGTTTGTTGGCTAACCGCCTCTTTTGGCCAGTGGTAAATGCAACTCGGCCCTCACATAACTCAATGCACATGGAATATTTATGGCTATAAGCTATACACATATAAATGTTAGCACGATTGTTTATACTGATGCTCACAGAAAATATAGTAAATTGCAAGTACATCGCATTTTTATCTTTGGAGATTGTAAAACAGTACTAGGAAAGGCTTTTGATTTTAATCTAAAATTGGTAAAACTTTACATTCTTTAAACATATTAATTTGATTTTCTGATTGAAATTAATGTTTGTTTAGAAGTACACACATCCTTGTAAAATTGCGGATTGTATTCCGTAGCCGGTTAGGATGCATCCATATTTAACACCAATGTTCCAATCCTATGTTCTGGAAGTAACAATTTCCCACTCGACACTAATATTTGTACGAAGTGTGTTCAAAAAGTATCGTGAATTTTGAATTTTCGCGAGTTACGTATATTTGAATTTCGAATTTTTTGTGGCGTTATGTTGGTACTCATGTCTCTTACTTATACCGACAAGCTCGGCCATTTTGAATGTTCATTTAATTGTTGACAGCTGCTTTGCTTGCACGTGTTTTGGATCGTCTTCGATGTTTACCTATTCAAAAAAATGGATCAAAGAACCTGTCTCAAATTTTGTGTGAAAAACGAAATTAAGGGCGCGGATGTATTCCGAATGTTGACTGTGGCATACGGAGAAGCTACCTTGGACCGAAGCAACGTTTACCGATGGTACAAAATGTTCTCAGAAGGCCGAGAAGATGTGACAAAAATTGGCTTTTGCACCACGATAACGCCCCTGCTCACACATCGTTGCTTGTGCGCGACTTTTGGCCAAAAACAATACACTAATGATGTCTGCAGCCACCGTATTCCCCAGATCTGGCCCCCTATGACTTTTTCTTGTTCCCTAAACTGAAGAGGCCCATGAAAGGACGACGTTACGCTTCTCTTGACGACATAAAGACGGCATCGAAGGAGGAGCTGAAGAAGATAAAAAAATGATTCTTTGAAGTGCTTCGAAGATTGGAAAAACCGTTGGCACAAGTGTATAATATCTCATGGGAATTACTTTGAAGGGGACAAAATAGATATTCATGAATAAATAAGTAATTTTTGAAAAAACACAAAATTCGTGATACTTTTTGAACACATCTCGTATATTTACTCAAATCCACCCTATGATCCAACTTTTTGGCAAGTTAAATCTCAAAGATATAGCCCTCTACATCAAACCTAGGTGAATAATTTTTGGCTATCTAGCTACGTCTTTCATGTTTTACAATATACATATTGCTATATTATAGAAAGGATATGAAAATGTATAGTAACCACAGWTGGGATGAAAATTTCATATTTCCTCATTTTGCTTTAGCGCTCAACTTTTCAAGGCCCGATTTACGTAAACACACACATAATATACGCAGCATACAGTATGTATGTAGATATGTAGATACGTGTTTATCGGCGATGTAAACAGCTCTTTATGTGCTCTCATGTCGCGACTTTGAAATATATGTATGCACCATATATACATAGTATGTGTGTTTATGTGTTGTATAAGAAAAAAATATTAGTTTGGGATGATGAGCTAGTTAATTTTTCGTTTTTGCAATGAACTTGTAATACAAAGTGTGCTTTATCATTTCCATCCGTCCTAGCGGTCACTGATACAAACTGCAATGAAACTGTGTGTACAGAAGCGTATTTAAATGCTTTCTGTAAAAATGGCAGACTAAGTAACTGGGGTGATAAGGTTTAGACTGATTTAGAAATTTAAAGTTCCGCAGCATATTTGAAATAAAATTATTTACCACTTATCACGAGCTGACGCCTATTCAAAATTCATGGAAGTCACAGAAAGGACTGTCAGTGTTACATAACTCCGAATGRTTTAATAATGAGAATTTTGCAGCCCGTTAGAAGTTTAGTGCATTGTCATGCCATGGAATTTACTTAAATTTAAACCCCCTTTATATCCATAATGCATTAATCCTTCGTAAACGGTTGTCTCTATTGCATTGCGCCTGGTTAAGAACTCGGTCTGCATACGGCCCTGAGTAATTACAAGAACATTTTATAAAAAAAACGCATACGTCGATATGTTGCTTAAATAGCCAAACATTTGACCGCAGCTGACGCACATATGTGCTTATATACTGTACACATACACATATACGTCCTTATATGTACAGCATGGGAGCCTATTTAAAGTCGGGCGATGCAATGCGGGATTGCGGTTAAGTCCTGTTTTACACAATTACAGTCAGATAGTGGATAATAAATTAAAAGAACTCGCTCCCCACTTTCAGATACCCTGTATGTATGCAAGTATGTTTAACTGGGAATTCATGTGTTTTGGAAGCTGTGATTATGCGTATTAAATCGAACGTGAGATTATGTTTAGAATAAATGTATATATGTAAATATGTAGGTGTTTYATATTAACTCACCATTAATGTTTTCCCATAGAAAAAATCATTCACAGGTCCAACATTACCCGAAGAGAAAATACTTTTATTTAAACATTTCTTAACCGAGGGCGAAAGCCTGAATCGCATGTCAATGGTCTGAATGCATTGTTCTTGTTTGAAATATCAATCCAAAGAACTTATTAATTTTCTTATTAATGAACCGGTTAACTTTCGCTTATAAATATAAAATCAGTTTAAAAATTGTCAAATCAAAAATATACCATCCGAATTGTTTAATTGCTGATTTCCCCAAATCAGAAAGTGATCCCCGAATTGAGTTATGTATATGGTAGCATACATATTTGAAAAAATAAATGTAAAGCTTTTTAAATACAACAGTCATTTAAAATCTCAAAAAACAAAGTTTTAAACAATTCAGTCTGCAAAGTACAGCTTGAAAAGCCATTGTTAATTGTTTCGCCAAAAACTTGCTATCGTTGTTTTTTAACCACTTAAGATGAAATACAAAGCTTAAAGCTCAGTTGCACAGTGCAGGCCACACAAAAATCATACGCCAAGCAAATTTTTCTAATGACTCAAAATACGATATACGATTTTCATTAAATTTGATAACCAAACAAGGTGCAATAAGTTCGCCACGAAATTTGTAAATTTGTTGCTGAGTCAATTTAGCCATGTCTATTGTACATTTGTCTGTCTATATTAATGCGAACTAGTCCCTGTTT